GGCTCCCTTAATACCTTGCTGTGGCGTCTCCGTCTTTGAGAGTACCTCTTACATATCGATCTGTATGACCCAGCTCATTCTAGCTACAAGCGCAGACCTTTTAAGTTAGCTGGTTCCACTGAATGCGCATGCAGTTGGTTAACATGTAACCTTTTGAATCGATCGATCGATCTGTCGATGATTGCTTAACAATGCCTGCGGCTAGCCTAGCTTCTACCGGTTAACTCAAATATCGCTGAGATGCCAAAAGGATATTGTACTTTGGTACTCTAAACGACATTGGCTAGCTTTGTCTCACTGTACTCTCGTTGGCAGAATGCTTGTGCTCGACAGGGGCCTCCTTCGAGGTGGTATGTGTATAAAATGAGCGCCGCCAATGTCAATTGGTATCAGGATGGATTTTGTGAAACAGCCCCAACAATTGTTCTATCGGGATAACCCTATGCCGCACTCAACGTCTATGTCTCATTTTTGCTCCTTGAGTCCTGGAAACATAGAAGAAAACTCTGTCCCGTCGCTACCACCTCCATAAATAACTATCACTAAGACTAGGATTGGATGCCTCTTGGAGCCCTCGACTGCTGAACTATGACAAGTCACGGCTCTGAAGTCTTCATCAGGTAGCCCCTGGACCACGACAAGGTGGACATCCTCCCAGGGGAACGTCACCAACAAACGACCACCATAGATCGAGCAACTAACCCCCTCTCCCCCTTCTCCCCCCTCTTAGAGCTTTGACCCCAGAGCCACTGCCGGGTTCAACTGAACCGCAGCAAGTGGAGACTCTTTAAGAAGTCTTTCACCCTAAGGCGCGTTGGAGTTTCGGATCCCAGAGCCACTGTCAGATTATTCCAATGAATCGCAACAAGTGGGGACTCTTAAGAGATCGTATCCCCGTGAAGCGTTGGCCCCAGAGCCACTGTCAGGATCGACTGAACCGCAACATGTGGAGACTCTTAGGAGGCTTTTGCTGTGGACGCGATACATCCCCTCCCCCTCTCTCTCTTAGAGCTCCGACCCCAGAGCCACTGCCGGGTTCAACTGAACCGCAGCAAGTGGGGACTCTTTAAGAAGTCTTTCACCCTAAGTCGCGTTGGAGCTTCGGATCCCAGAGCCACTGTCGGATTATTCCAATGAATCACAACAAGTGGGGACTCTAAAGAGATCATATCCCCGTGAAGCTTCGACCCCAGAGCCACTGTCGGGATCGACTGAACCGCAACGAGTGGGGACTCTTGAGGGGCTTTTGCTGTGGACGCGATATACCCCCACCCCCACCCCCCCTCTTAGAGCTTCGACCCCAGAGCCACTGCCAGGTTCAACTGAACCACGCCAAGTGGGGATTCTTTAAGAAGTCTTCCCCCTAAGTCGCGTTGGAGCTTTGGATCCCAGAGCCACTGTTGGGTTCAACTGAACCGCAACAAGTGGGGACTCTAAAGAGATCGTATCCCCGTGAAGCTTCGGCCCCAGAGCCACTGTCGGGATCAACTGAACCGCAACAAGTGGGGACTCTAAGGAGGCCTTTGCTGTAAACGCGATACACAAACATCCCCTCGCCCCTCCCCTCGGAGCTTTGACCCCAGAGCCACTGTCGGGTTCGACTGAACTGCGACAAGTGGGGACTCTTAAGAAGTCTCTGCCCCGGAAACAACAAGCAACTATCGCCCTAGATTAAGCAACTACCACACTAGATCGAGCAATGGATGCCTCTTGGAGCCCTCGACTGCTGAACCATGACAAGTCACAGTCCTGAAGTCATCAGGCAGCTCCCGGACCACGACAAGGTGGACATCCTCCCAGGAGATCAAGAACTCAGCAACTTACCTCGAATCCAGTCCCATTTTGTGCTCGCTAGCCTGGCTAGATCTATAAAACTGCAGCTGTGATAGCCTTGCGGCCTACCCCTTAATAAGATCAACTTATAGACCGCCTTGCTACTCACTTTCATTAATTCCTTCTCTTCTCTTGCATTCATACTGTTCCTATCGAATGTTAAGATTGCCACTCGGAATTTCTTGTATTCCATAGCTCTGAACGAGACGTCCACATGTGGGCTTTTTGTCGCTTCGGCGTCCTTCCTAGTAGCTCCGGACTATCTGTAACCTCGGATCAGTGATGTACTAGAGAATAACTATGATAGACTTGCCTAAACCCAAAATTCAGGCCAGATCTTCAGACGTAAGATCGCTGCTTCAAACTAATCAGTAGAGCTTGGATCGCCATACCTTTGCTTTCCTTCCCTTGTTCTGAAGTACCCTTGGAGCAGCTCGCTGGTTCCTCGAGATCTGACTAGTTTTAGGTTCCAAAAGCGACGTCCACATGTGTGTGTTTCACCGATTCCGCACTAATGATGCTAGGAGTGAGGGTTCAAGAAAACGCAATGAAAAGCGATGCTAGCGAGCCAACAGTGGTGCTTACTTAGACTCCGTCTATCATCCCTTTCTCTTACACATAGAGTTCCAGTGGAGGTTCCAGTTGATAACAAAGAACTCGGAGGTTTCAGGTAGCCTAGACAGGCGTCCACATGTGGGTTTTTGGCCAAATGGTGCAAATATAATGATATGCAACTCACTTTCTTCTCTTGTTTCTATACTATTCCAATGGAGTATTGAGGTTGTCACTCGAAATTTCTTGTTTTCCATCGCTCTGAATGAGACGTCCACATGTGAGCTTTTTGCCGCTTCGACACCCTTCCTACCTTCCTAATAACTTCAGACCATCCGTAACCGTCAACGATGTGTTAGAAAATGATAACAACGATGATAGACTTGCCTAAACCCGGATCATCAGACATATAAAGATCGCTGCTCAAATCAGTATCGCTTCATTATTTCTCGGATCGCCTGCTCCTCAAGATCTGACTAGTTCTAGGTACCAACAAAGACGCCCACAAGTGAGTGTTTTACCGATTGTGTATGTACACTGGTGTGAGGGTTTAAGAAAACACAGTGGAAAGTGATGCCAGCGAGCAACGGTGCTGCCAATCCAGCGTCTGTCTATGTTCTCTTTCTTTACCACATAGAGTTCCAGTGGAGGTTCCAGTTGATAACTGAGTTATCGGGGGTTTCAGGCAACTAAGATAGGCGTCCACATGTGAGTTTTTGGCCAAATGCTGCAAATATGTAATGCCAACACATAAGCACTGCAGCAAATACCAAGGCGAGCGCAGATTCGAGGGAGTGCAATGCGGGCAAGCTAGTGCCAGACATAGCATCCGTCAATCACCTCCTTTCAGCGGGCGTTCTAATTGACGCCCGAACGCGTGTCAGTTATTTGACCGAACCCGACCATACGCAGTGTCAACAATGCCAGGAGAATGCAGGTCTGAGAGTGCGATAATAAATGAGCAGTGCCAGATCTAACTTCTGTCTTCTCTTGCATATAGAGTTCCAGTTGAGGTTCCAGTTGATAACCGAGAACTCGGAGGTTTCAGGTGGCCTAGATAGGTGTCCACATGTGAGTTTTTGGCCAAACGCTGCAAATATAACGCCATGTAACTCACTTTTGTTAATTATCCCTTCTCTTTTCTTGTTCGTGTACTGTTCCTATTGGGAATTAAGGTTGTCACTCAATCCTGTTCTAAAGGAAGAGTCATAAGCAGGGAACGGCTTCCCTCAGGGAATTACAATAGAATCCACTTTGGCACCGGCCAGCTTAGGGTATGTCACTACTGTTGACGTATGGTCCCACTCTCTATATGGCTTGAACTGTATTGTCCAATCACGCCCTCGAACTCTTGGCTACGCTTCCTGATTCACTGCGTTTATCTCTCTTGCTGCACCACAAACCCGGACTGCCATGAATCTCAATCGCGATGGCACACATTCTCATTCTTCTTCATTCTGCCCATCCACGTCTGTTACACAAGACTGTTTTCTCTTTCGGACCAAGTAGACGCCCAGGCTTGATGTACAACAACAGTTGTTTCTTCTGTTTTATACCGACCGAACCTGAGTGAACCTCTCTCTCTCGCTTCATTTGTTCTCGATGCTTAAAAATGGTTTCTCGGGTCTGACGTTAACGCCCTCGAAGCCAGGATTGAGCCTGACCCCTCTCCCATTCAGTATCGGAGAAAGCAGTGAATACATGTTCACCGTACTTCAGAGTTTGCGGGGAGTAATGTCAATAAGCCCTCTGGCACGCATTGGGCCTTCAAGATGCCGCGCGGAGGCATGCGATTTGTACACAGAAAGGAGGCTGAGAATACAACTCGATACTTCGTCTATCAACTCTGTCCACCGGGATGGCTCTCAATTCTCTACTTCTTTTCGTACCGCAATCCCGCTTCGCAATGCTGATAGCCTGTGCCTACTATGTACAATGAGTCTTCGTAACCTATCCGCTGCAGATCATCCTTGACACTAGAGCATTCAGGATGAGATTTCAGTCCTAGGAAGAACCCCCCTCAGCTAGGTTTCCAATTTCTCAACTTGAGGGTGTTTCTGTTTTCAGCGTGGCCATATTTTAAAGTTCGAAGCTCTGTCCTTCATCTAGGTTCAACTTGATGATGACGCTTCTGGGCCCGTGACGTACTGGAATAAAACCTGTGTTGACACAAACCATTTGCTTCTGTGGCGGGAGGATATCATTTTGGTCGCATGCGCGTGTACAGTTTGATGATCTAGGCTCTCGGCTCCACCGACATGTTTATCTATGCTCCCAATCTTTTACTGTTATTGTCGAGACACCGGACGCGGCTCTAACTGCCAGTCGAGCAAGGATTGCGCAAACTATTCTCGGGGCCGATCTCTCTACCCATTCATGAAACTGACTGTCAAGTGAAAGTTTTTACACATTGAATTATACAACTACAGAGTGTCGTTCTTCCTGTGGACGGTGAGGTCGTATATTGGTATGAGGACCGCACCAGCAGTACAAGCCATCACTCTCCGGGGTCTACTCACTTGGTCTGATTAACACCATTTCCCTTCAAGATCCACTCTGAAGCTTTCCTAGCTTGTTCCTCCTGTTGTTCCTTCGTCAATTCACTCACAGCGGGGCGTTTCTCAGGCACGTTAAGGCCTGCCTGAACACCTGGACTGTTGGCAATTCTATCGAGCCATTTCTTTCGATGGACTCGTTAGTCGTGAAGGAATGAAGAACGAGACCGTGACGTGAGACGTACAGTGAGGTTAGGGAAATCATCGAGGCTATCGACGCCCGACCATGCCCAGGCTTTGATCCTATTCCAATTTTCAACAATTAGTTAACGCTATTGACTCCTTGAGGATGAGGATGACAAGCAGAGTTGGACGTACCAGGGCCAAACGTTGATATCAGCAATAGAATACTTCCCTTCCCAGATCCAACTAGATAGTCTCGACCTTCACCTTGGGTCAACCTGGCCTCGAGGACGCTATAAAGGCGTTTCGTTTCGGTTATGTAACCTGAGTGGATTGATTTCCCAGAAAAGAGATGGTAGCCTGTTTGCTTTCACGAAGGTGAATGAGAGTGAGGGAGGTGCACATACGGTTTATACCATAGGGGATTTTTTCGGGTGCGTAGCGGTAGAAGTGATTCGCTTGACCTGTTATCGAGCCAGGGGATTTAATTATAACGGAATCTCGACAATCTTCAGACACGACGAGCCTTGCATCGGACCAACACCACCATGCTATATAAACAAATCCAAGAAGTTGCGTCAGACTATAGCGCGTTAACACGTCCGAAAAAATAAACTCACAGCAAAGAATATCCACTGAAGAGCTTCAGATTCCTCATCCGATCCGATCTCAAAACTGATCTTTCTCTCTGGATCCCATCGCTGAACGAGATAAAGAAGTATGGCGGCTGTTTCGAAAACGTTAAAGTGCGATCCGTCTGGGTGGTGGTGGGTCACTGCCGGAATTCGATCATTCGGGTTTATTTGAAGGTACCATGGTTCTTTCTGTTCCAGTTTACTGAAGTCCAGTTTCTAAATGGCGGGGGTATGGGAAGTCGGAGGATGCATTGAGTGCGTGTGATTGGAACGTGAACTTGTGGTGCATACATTGAAATCGTAGCTCAGTCCTCCATCGGGGTACAATTCTTTGAGAGCCTCTGTGAGATGTAAGAGAAAACAGGAAAATCAGCGCTCGCAATCGCCACACAGGCTGGCCCATACGCACCAAGCGCTATGGAGACTTTGTGGCCATTAGGGGTCGGAGCAGTGTAAAGGGTCAAAGTCATTTCTGCTATATAAATGATCCCCAAAGCCGTTCATTGCTCCTCCATTCGACCAGCCCCTTGGAATCTCTTTCACCCTGCACTGCACTTCGAGGCTCCGAATCGCATTCGCTAGGCTCTTGTCTACTCGCTCGATCATGTCGACGCCTTCATTTATCCACCACTATGTGGAGGTGTCGTGCATGACAATAATGGGTCCCTTAGGCTGCCGGGTTTCGTCATCGCTGGTGAGATCAACTTGAAGGGTGAGCCGAGCTGGAACTCATTCCGGAAATCATGCACACGTCGTCGCCGGCAGCGCTCAACTCACCTACTGGTTATGAGTGAATCTGAATTGACGCAGAGGTGGATTCGTTTAAATTTAATGGAGTTCCTCTTCGGCTCTTTTGCAGGGAGCAGTGGATCACAACGACCTAACCCTAGTGGGAGAGGGAGGTTTGATTCAGAGATCTGTCGACGCTTCAATGCGGGAACCCCCCATACCAACTGCCGATACAAGCATGTATGTGACCAGTGCCAAGGAGAGCATCGGCGTATCAACTGTCAACAAAAGGAAGGGAAGAAGTCTGGAAAGGATCAGTGATTGGAGAAGATCGATCAGAGAGCCACGCTATCTGCGAGGATTTGTGTGGGGCAACGAAAAATCGGGCACACCTTCGGTAACGTCTACTATCTTCAGAGAACCATTACCCATAACCCCGAATACCGACTATGACCATGAGTTGGTTACCGAAACTGTCGCCCAAAATGCTCATCTCTTCAAAATAGTGACGCCTATCCGTTCAGATAAGCTTGAGGAACTCTTGATCAATCACCCTAATCGAGCCCTGGTGGAGTCAGTGCTGAAAGGTTTTCGCGAGGGTTTCTGGCCGGGTGCGCAGCCCGAACGTTTGGTCTCACTTCGAGAAGGTTATGATAATCGCCGAGGGAAGAATGAGATGGATGAGGAGAAGCGGGAATTCTTGAGGTCGCAGCGAGATGTGGAAATTTCTTTGGACCGATATTCAATTGCCTTTGGGCCGACCTTACTTCCTAGAATGGTGTCGCAACCGTGCTTCGCAGTCCCGAAGACTGGGTCGTCGAAATTCCGTTTAGTCAACGATCATACGGCTGGAGACTCGTCCTTGAATGCAGCAATACCTCTGGAGGAAGGGTCGTTCAAGCCAGACAATTTACATGATTTGGGGAACCTCTTACTTTCTTTTTTGGAAAAGCATGGTCGATCACCCGTTTGGCTCTTTAAAACTGATGCGAGTTCAGCCTTCAGATTGCTACCTTGTCACCCGAGATGGCAGGCTCGACAAGCGACGATGATTGATGGTCTATACCACATTGATCGTTGTTGCGTCTTCGGGAACCGGGCTTCGGGAGCGATCTGGAGTACCTTTTATGCTTTGGTCCTATGGATTGGCATCGAAGAAAGAAATTTACCTGGACTCTTGCATTATGTGGACTCTGTTTTTTCTTTCAAGCCCTGTGAGGATTTGGAACTTTATGTTCCATATGATTCAACCTACCCGCACAAACAAGTGGAATTACACGACCACGAAGTCATTAAACTAGAAAGGTAAAAGCAAAGCGAACAGCTAGTACGCACGAGAAAGTGAGAAAAAAAAAAAAAAAAAGAAAAGAAAAGAGAGAGAGAAATGAAAAAGGGGCGGCAATGTCGACCAGGGGGTAAAAGCTCAGGCGGCACCAGGGCGGGCGTTGCGCCGACCCCGAGCCCAGGGCCGTCGACCATGAGCGCCCAATTGCCATCTTATAAAACACCGAGCGCAGCCTAGGCAATTGGGTTTATGGGTAGTTCCACAAGAACTAGGACAGTTCACGGGAACATCCACACAGCCTACGCGCCGTAGACTAGGTGTCCCACTATAGACTTGCAGAGTCAGGAGGTTCTACCTCTATCTGTCTTCCCCCCTGACGAGGGCGCAGCCCGAGCAGACAACCGAGCCTGGGACCCCCCCCAAAATCAAATTAAACTAGAGCCCTATGAAACCTACCAATCGCCCGCCTCAGCCCTAACCTCAATACAGTGCCCATGAAACCACAAGTACCACCTCCCTAATGCTCACCCAAATGATGCCCTAACCCACCACTAGCCACCGATCGCAACCGAAGCCTGGCCCGTCACCTAACGGCTACCCAGGCAGCCCCCGGCCACTATTGGCCAAGATGGCCCAGCAGGAAACGCTCTCCCTCACCCCCTTACCCAATCGCCCTGTCCCTTTATAACTACGCCGATCTGCATCTCAACCATATGACTCCCCAACAACCCCTCCAAGAGCATATCCACGACACACCCAAACTGCACCATTAAGCTCGACCTGGTATCCCAAAAAGCGAGTTTCGGATCTCCCAAGCGTTCTGGAGACACCCCCTCTCATACCTCTGCAGCCCCGGCTCCAGTTTCCCCGCGCCCACGATAGGAGTAGGGCCGGGAAACTCCCCCCCCAGCCACAGTGGACGAGATCTCAAGGGTAGTTATGACAATGTACAACACACTGATGAAAACCCTGACCAACAACCTAAGCGCGGAAAAACAAAAAATAAAAATAAAAATAATTACCACCTGCCATCCCGCTGCAATAACCTGTACAACCTGTGTGAACTAACCCATACCACAACCAAATGAGCATTACCTAGGCCACTCCTAAATTGCGTAGTCAATTTGCCCGCTGATTTAAACCAGAATCGCCGCTGCCAAATCTCCACCCTGGCATGGCTACAACATCTGGGCAAGAAACCCGCTACACCCTAATATCTCGTAGAATCACCTTTCCCCTGCTAGAATCAAGGGGCACCACTATCCCCCAGGCCTACCCGTAACACTCTGAACATTTGCCCCCAAAACGCCACTGGTAAATGACCCCCGATGACTAAACAAACCGACCCGACCCTGGCCCACCCCACACACCGAAATTGCCCCCCACCCGGATCCGGGAAAACCCAAACCCCCCCTAACCGCCAATCAAAATTACCGATGCATTCTAGCAGCCAGGAATAAAACAGGTAACTCCGCAGGAACTGTGTCAGTTCCCTCCCCCCCCAACAAGCTCCCCGCTAAACCATGGAGGTAAATATCCCCCCTGTTCACCCCATAACCTCTGACAAGGTCCCAGTCTGAACAGCCATCCGTACCCCTCCATACAACCTTCCAATCCCTGCTGAGGGCTGAGGACGAACAAATGGCAGCAGCCATAACCAATGTGCCACAAAATTTCGCTGTCACTATAGCTGACCGGGATGAGGAGATCACTCACGACTCCAACTCCGACAATACAGACACCTCCCAACCCAGCCCCCTCTTCGGGAAGAACTACCAAGGAAGCGGTAAAAACCAAGACCCTACTCCAGCATCCGAAAATGAAACAAGGAAACATGCAAGATCACCCACTGCCGCAAGACTCCAGGGCCCTTTAAAGGCCCCCCCTGCTTTCTCCCCCTAAAGCGATGAGGCCCCTCCTCACCACCCCCCAGAACTTCAAACCCTCCCTTGTGCCCACCCCCGATGTCTTCGACTTTGAGTCTGGAGGCTCAGCGGCTTTCCTAAAAAATATAAACCCCACCGAATTCCCTCCATCCCGGAGCCCAGCCACAGACGGTGATGGATCCCCCATTGCCACGGACCACCCAACCTTCATGCCAGTACTTGCAGAAAAACCCGATGACGGAAGAGATGACCTCAACTGGCTACCTCTCGGCCCTGGCCTAGCCAACTTTTACGCACACGGCCTCTGCCCAGGTCGCCTCCTTGAAGGAGCAAACCCTGACCGTGCCAAAGCCTGGCTAAAAAAGGCAGGTGCCATTCTAGTCCTACCCCTAGATGCCGCCCACAGCGAAGAAAACACCAGCAACTTCCAGACCAACATGGAAGCTTTCCTCGAAAGAGCATTCCCACACCAAGTAGGAGAAGTGAGCATTATCCCCCCTGTCCCCATTGACCTCAGATGTGGCGGAACCCCCCAATACGCTAAACCATGGGGCTTCTTAATTGATGGCCTGAACCCCCAATTCGCTGACCTCCTCATACGCGAACACTTATGGATATGCAAGACGTTTGGGTTCATCGCTATCGGCACTAGATTCAAGCCTTCTTCCTTCATGATTTCAATTGTAGGAATGGGCAACAGGTTGAAGGATGCGAACAACATTAAAGACGCTGTCAAGCAAACTATCACCAAATCACCAAGCCCCTTCCGAACATTCCTAGAGGAGGCAAGCATGACAACTGACCAAATAAAGGAAATTGTAGACAGCGTCAGAGTAATCCCAAGAGGATATGCCCCCAACGGAAAGGAATATAACGAAAACACCGAGGAAAAAAGAAGGCCAACCTCGGACAAATCGGTAACCATGTGGGAGCTGCATATAGACCCTCCCTTCAAGACCCTCAAGGAGGCACGAGAAACCGCACATGACCAATGGTCCCATATTTTCAAAATGGCCTCGTTCATAAGTGAGAGAACCCAAGCCGGACACGCCTTCAACAGACAAAGAGTCTGTAACACCTGTAAAGCCTCCGACCACTTATTCCACTGCTGCCCGATCCACTCTCACTCTGCCTGGAATCAACGGTACCCCAAACAAGATGCCGACATGGAAGCAGATACCGACGGCAATGCGATCCCCTCCAGCTCTAGTGGAGGTCCATTCCCCTCCCTCCCTCGACACCTGCCTTATTCAAACTTCCAACGTGGAAGAGGACGTGGCCGTCCCCCCACCCAATATGGCTCACGATTCCTCTCCTTCGTCCCTCCAAAATACAACTTTGACTGATATGCACCTTAAAAGGATTTCACCCCGAACCGTGGACAAATGGCAAAATAAATTAGATAACCAAAAGAGCCTCGCTCACATCATGTAGTTACTCTGCCCTGTCCTGTAAATACTTCCCTCACAAACACTATGATTCAATTGAAAACCCTAACTAACCCATAACCTCCCCTCCTCCCCACACCCTACTGAGCCCACACTTACTGAGCCCATGGGCGACAGGAAAGCCCAGTAGCTTGATCCCAAAATGCCCGAAAACACCCCGAACCCCGGCTGGCAATCGGATTGGGAAACACCAAAATGCCTGTAAAAAGATCAACCCCCCAAAGCCCAATCACACGGTGAATACCCAAGACCACAGCCCCCGGTGCCCAGAGGGCAGAGAATTTATACCGTTTTATCAAAACCCAATGATGGTCACCAGGGATCGGAAAACGGACCAAAAACCCCAGCCCCACATATACCACTCCACCTAAGAGGCGGAAGACCCCCAATGACCCCAAATGGCCACCTCTCCATTGCGGCCCTCAACATTAGAGGAGCCAACAGTCCACAGACTAAACAAAAATGGAACCTTATCACAAATAAAATGAAGAAGGATAAGATCGCTGTGATGTGCGTATCAGAAACCCACGTCGACTCACCCCAAGAAGACCTACTAGCCAACCAGTACAACAATGAATTCCACATCATCCACTCCTTCGACCTGACCCACACCAGAGCCGCCGGCATTGCAATTATCATCAATAAAAGCATCATAAAAAAGAAGCCAATGGAATCGACCAACCTTATCCCTGGACGAGCCATCCTCACCATGATCGAATGGCCACCTGGCAACGAGATCACACTATTAACAATATATGCCCCGAACACTAGAGGGGCAGGTACTGAGAATGCCGCATTCTGGCAGAAACTAGGTGAACTCACAGAAAACATCCAGGTTGACATTGCCCTGGGTGACTTCAACGTTGTCGAAGAAGCAATTGACCGTTCCCCCCAACACGAAGATGCGAATGCCGCAGTAGTGGCCCTAAAAGAACTCCTCTACCTCCACGACCTAAAAGACGGATGGCGCCAAGCCAACCCGGCACCTGCAAAAAACTACACCTTCGGACACTGTACAGGAACTCATATGTCACGAATTGACAGGATCTATGCCACAAATGAAATAATAAATAAATCACTCACCTGGAGTATCAAAAACCCAGGCATCCCAACGGCTGACCACCAGCTGATCTCAATAGACATACATGATCCCCGCGCACCACACATTGGAAAGGCAGATGGGCAATCCCAAACTACCTAGTAAATGACCATGAATTCCTGAAAGGAGCCGAAGATCTTGGGAATGAAGCACTGGACAAAACCAACCAACTCACCGCACTAAATACCCCCGGAGTTCAAGACTGCTTCCTCCACTTCACCCAATCCATTATAGCGTTAGCACGCAAACTCGCCAAAACCAAGTCAGGCAAGCTAAACTCAACTCTTATCCGTCTGGAGAAACGCAGAAACAAAGCTGTCCGGAAACTGAGCTCCCCCCAAACAGCGCGCCAGTTAGAGGAAACCCAATACCAGATCATGACGCTAACTGAAAGGATCCAGGAGGTGGAAAGAACCCGGCATAGGAATAATAAGACCACAGCCAATACAAACAAGCGCCTCTTCGCTGAATCAATAAACAAATACTGGTGCAGGTGGGGGAAAAATAAAAGGCCACGTGACACTATATCCGAACTTCGAATCCCCCACTCTGACCCTCCCCGCTACACCTCCAACTCCTCAGAAATGGCTAAGATTGCCGCAGAACACTACAACGCCGTGCAATCAAGAGACCTCAACTTAATCCCCCCCTCAGAAAGAGAACCCTGCATCACCGAATGCCTCTCATCTATCACAACCACACCTGCAACACAAACTGCTCCCATGGCTTCCGGTATCAGCTACAACGAAACCCTAACTGCCCTAAGACAGTCCCCAAACGGTAAAGCCCCCGGCCTCAACGGCATCCCAACTGAACTTTACAAGAAACTCCACGAAAGATGGGCAGCAGAGGCAGATGGCCATGTAGATATAGTTCAACTCCTCCATAATGTAATTAGTGACATCGAAATGCGAGGTGTTTCCTCCCCACAGTTCACTGCTGGCTGGCTGTGCCCTTTATATAAAAAGAAAGACAAACGAGAAATCGAAAATTACAGACCAATCACTGTACTAAATGCTGAATACAAAATCATGACAACAGCACTCATGAACAAAATAGTGCCAATCGCCCCTAACCTCATAAATAAATGCCAGGCTGCCTTCATAAAAGGCAGAAGCATCCACGATCAGATTGACCTAGTCAACCGCATGATAGACCTGTGCGAAATCATCAGTCAAGATGGTGCAATAGTTGCCCTAGACCAAGAAAAAGCATACGACAGGATCCGTCACGACTACCTCTGGTGCACACTGGAAGCCACCGGGATCCCACCACCCACCATAAACTCCATAAAGGCCCTCTACTCCAACCCTGGTACCAGAGTGATCCTGAATGGCGAAATCAGTGATGAATTCTTAATAGACCGAGGAGTACGTCAAGGCGACCCACTGTCATGCCTCCTCTTCAACATAGCTATTGAACCCCTATCTGCTATGCTGAGAGAATCCGGTAAAATACAAGGCCTTGAAATCAAAACACCAGTACTCACACAAAAAGTCATTGTCTCCCTATTTGCCGACGACGCTGCGGTCTACCTCTCAAAAAACGACGATGTAACTAACCTATTCAACATCCTTGACACCTGGTGTACCGCCTCAGGAGCTAAATTCAACCAAGGAAAATCCATGGTTATCCCCGTCGGCTCAGCGACATACCACAAAAACCTACTTGACACCAGAAAACTAAACCCCAACTCATCTAACCCCTTCCACATCGACATGACAATCCTCCAAGACGGCCAGACCACAAGGTATCTAGGTGCCCAGTGTGGTAACCGCCCTACCGGGATCGACCCATGGCTGGACATTATGGCCAAAATCAACACAAGCCTTAAACACTGGCAGAAAACCTACCCGACCATCGAAGGGCGAAAACTCATCACCCAAATGGTCATCGGCGGAATGGCCCAATTCCACACCTCTGCCCAAGGCATGCCAGCCAAAATCGAAAAGGAATTAAACACCCTAATAAAAAAACTTCATATGGAACTCCCAACTCCCCTCACTCAGCATGAGGACCCTGAACAGCCCTACTAGCGAAGGGGGAAGAAACGTCTTGAATATCCAAGCAAGGAACGAAGCGATTCACCTTATGAAGCTGAAAAAGATCTTAGATAGATCTCCTGACAGACCACCCGCTGCCGACGCTGCCGAGGCCATAATAATTTGCTCACTCCCAAAACACACCCGCGACCAAGAGGCCCACGACCCCCGAATAATCGATGTCTTTACCCAACAGATCTTTAACAAACACCGCTATGTGAGCAAAACCCTCCCGCGCGAAATTAAAGCCATACTCAACACTGGGGCCAAGTACAACCTAGCCCTCGACGATGTCAACCTCCCCCTGAACATCAGGCTGGATCTCCCAGCATGGTACCATATCGGAACAGAAGAGCACGTC